CATTATTGGAATGCAAACGCACCCACCCCTTTAATACAGTTGTGCTTTGGGCTGCTTCCTGTCGGTCCAGATATGTTTTGGCGATTTTTAAATTATGATAGTTTATAATAACTAGTGCAATAGTCAAAATATGATAAATAATCTAATGAATTATAGCAATAAATAGTAACAATTAATAGCAAATATATTTACGATTATGTTCAAGAACTAGTTCGTCAAAAATTTATTGGTCTTGTTTCGATCTTATTCGCTGGGTTGATACGCGTTAGCTAAGTCTATTTTGTGAAAACAGTAGAAATTATTGTTTAAACGTGTGTTCTGATAAAAACAGAGAGGCTTATCACTCACCAAGGTTTATCATTTTTAGACGCGCAACACATTATTGTTGAATTTATCAGCACTGTGACGGTCAAAATACCGACAACTTGCCAGAAAACAGAAATGAAAAATTAGCAAAAAATGAAAATTGATGAAAATTCATTGAAATTATGAGTCGTCACTTCAAAATGAGGCAGTTTTTCTTGTTCTTATGAAATCAGAAGTAGGATAGAACTGGAAATTTTAAAAGTACAAGCTTGAAAAAATTAGTAATTCTTATTGCAGAGCCAACTTTTTCCAAAAAATGCGTTCGCTTCAAGCTCAGTAAATTTCATAAGAACAAGAAAAGCTGCCTCAAAATCATAGAAAAGCCCTGTGATTTTCAGCTATTTATTAATTTTACTCCACAGTAAAAGAAATTTTTATCATCCAAGTTATTTCAGGTGTGTCTCTGCAGCCACATCATGTGCAGCAACATCCTCACCATCGTTCTCACCATCATCATCACCATCACCACCACCATCACCATCATCATAGCAATCGGTTATCGTCAGGGGCGACGCGGCGAACACATTCGTCAACCAAAAAACCGTCCAAGCATAAAAGCACACGTAAAAAGCATAAACGGTCTCAGTTTCTCTAATTCAAATAAACTATAGATTTCTTATACTTTTTTATCGCTCAGCGCTATAATGTTGTTACAGTGAGCAAAAACGCGTATTGTCGAGAGATCGTCCGTATGTGTAGATCCCTTCAGTACTACAATGCCAAAGGTAAGAAACCTACGGATGCGAAACATGGCCACCGACAGAAACAGAAAAGCAAGTGCCGGCTTTAACGGAGTGAGGGATAAAACGAAGAACGCAACCACATAAGCAATCAGACTTTTTATCAGATGAGTGACCTGAAGGTCAAAATCCGATGAGCAGGGTTTTTTACTCACTTTGCCAACAGCTGCCAGACACTGGGCATTAGTGAGTGGTGGGATTTACGGGTATTATCTGTGGGGAGTACTAGAATCAGTTAAGTGCTAAAACAATATAAAATCAAATAAAAATATAAAGATCAAATAAGAAAAAATAATTTTTTGATACTGCTATAGTAATCCTGCAAATCTTTGTTTTCAAAGGGACTTGATAGGGTTTAAATTAACATGGTTCTAGAACAAAATTATTATTCGGTTCAAAAAATCATGATTCCATGCTATTAGAAAAAAATCCACATTTTCACTTAGTTTCTCATGCTAGTTATGAAATGCTGTACATAGCAGCCTCATTCTATCATAAAACCAATTCAGGCCTGGAAAACATCATCATCATTCACGGACAACTGGGAAACCACATGCAAGTACCATCACCAAGACAATCCATGCACACACGACAGCACCAACCACAACAAAGAAACTGTCAGCACTCGCCCGGTGCAAACAGATCCAAGCTGACCCATCACTTGCTGCCGAGATTTTGCTCCGTGAACGACTCATTTTCCCAGTTGAAGGTATCCTTTTCTTTTTGTCTTTGAAAAGGTCTTCTTCGTTTTTGTTTTTTTTTTTCGTTTTTTTTCGTTTTTCTTGTTCTTTTTTTATGAAAAATCATCAAGATCTCTTCCTCCGCTAATAGTTTTGGTCTGAGCCGAAAACAGTAAAGGCCCGAGCCAATTTTGCTTTCTTAATGGATATGACTTTAAGATTGAGGCTCACAGCTATAGGTACCCCGGTTGGGTTAGTTTAACAGGATTGAATTAGATGCGCATCCATATCCATATGCCAAAGCTTTTAGCTACAAACTTTTAATTAGTGGAAGAATTTGTCAAGTTTCCAGATACATCGGGTCGGCATCCTTTGACTCAGGAAGAAGTAGTTCAGTCCAATATTGCCTTTGCATGCGTTCCACGTCTCGATGAAGCTGAATGTGAACGATCACTGTGCTATAATTTGTACTATCGAACCATGGATGGTACTTGTAACAACTTAGCTCGGCCTTTGCGAGGAGCTGCCTTTCGTCCTTATAACAGGTACCATGCTTGTTCTTGCAGTACAGTTTACCAAAGTATTCAGATGCGGAGAAATGCAGTTTCTTTTGCAAATAAGGTTTTCAGCATATGGAAGTTATATTTAGCTCTTTCACTTGCTCCGCTGTACTTTGTAAAACTTTATAAATGGATATTGCAGATTGTTACCACCGGATTACGATAACGGCTTGTCGGAGCCTGTTGGTTTGTTTTGTTTTTATGCGTTTTTTGCAGCAATGCAATGCGAAAAACGCATATTGACGAGAGGTTGTCTGTGTTTCGATTTTTTGTTGTTATATATTTCCTCCGTTTTTATGCGTTTTTTGCAGCAGTGCAATGCGAAAAACGCATATTGACGAGAGGTTGTCTGTGTGATTTTTATGCGTTTTTTGCAGCAATGCAATGCGAAAAACGCATATTGACGAGAGGTTGTCTGTGTGTCCGTGGCGTCTGTCACGGTTTTTCATCTCAAGATCTACAAAAGCTATGGGGCTGAAATTTTGGGGACTTAATCTACATGCACGTACTGGCCCCAATCCCCAAAATTGGCGCCATACCCCGCGTGGTGCCCGCGTATGGGCCCCCCAAAGTTTTTTTCGAGCAAGTTCATAACTCGGGGATCTGAAAAGCTAGAAAGCTGAAATTTTAAGGGGTTGTTCCCCGTCTAAGTAGGTACTAGTGAGCTCAAATCCAGCCCCCGAGTAGGCGTGGTACTCGCGTACGCCCCCCCCTCCAAATTTTTCCCACGCAAATTCATAACTCGGGTTTCTGAGATGCTAGAAAGCTGAAATTTTAGGGGAATGTTCCCGTCCAAGCAGGTGCTAATGAGCTGAAATTCAGCCCACGGGTAAGCCTGATACCCGCGTACGAGCCCCCCAAAGTTTTTCACGCGCAAATTCATAATTCGGGGTTCAAAGGTGCTAGAAAGCTGAAATTTTAGGGTAATGTTCTCCGTCCAACTAGGTATTAATGCACCCTTACTCATCCCTCCGGTAAGCGTGGTGCCCGCGTGCGAGCCTGCCAAAATTTTTTTCGGGAAAGTCCATAACTCGGGGATCTGTGAAGCTAGAGAGCAGAAATATTAGGAGGTGTTCCCTGTCCAAGTGGGTATTAACGAGAAAGCATGGTACCCACTTACGGGCCCGTGAATGTTCCTTCCGGATAAGTTACTTACTCGAGAACGTGAGAAGGTAGAAGACTGAAATTTTGAGGGGATGTTTCCTGACAGTTCTGGCGGCCAGTCTGAAATTCTTTCAACGAGAAGCATCTGCCGAAAAAACCGATGCCGGTAGCGGCAAAAACTGCGGGGAACTCTGCAAAAAACG